TTCTCCACCTTGTGTGTGTGTGTGTGCCTTTCCTTTGTGGCAATGAATCCTTGGACAACTCAAGGCTTGAGCTTGGCTTCCTTCAGATATGGCTCCCTGCTCTTGGCAGTCCTCAGCTGAGGACTGGGAGGAGTGGGGATCTCCTCCAGAAGGAGGAGGGGAAGGAAGGAAGGAGCCTGGCTCCCTCCTGCCTTGCAGAAAGGAGAAGGACATGGCTGAAAGAGCGTGGGCTTTGCATGGATGGATGGAGCCCTGCAGCAAGAATGGGGCTGCCACGGAACTCAGTTTCATCCTGGTTAAACTTCTCCCGAAAAGAAAGTGGGGTGGGGTTGGCTTGGTGTTTTTTATGTTGTTAGTCATTTTGTTGGGTTTTTTTGAGGAGTGTTAGGAAGGGAGAGAGCAGGGATTAACACCAAATCAAGGTTCTCTCCTGCACAGTCCCAGGTTCAGCTGGGACAGCCGCTGTGACAACAAGCAGGTTGTCTTCTGATGATACATTCAATGGACGTAACAGCACAGGACCACAGTGCAAGCAAATTTCAGTCTCCCCATCCTCCACAGGATGAAACAATTGCTGAGACAGCTCGTTTAGTAAGCAAAGATGGAGCCCTAGTGTTTGTGCTCAAGTGAAACTGCAAAACTGAGTGCACTAACGCACATGGGCTGCAATGAACACCAACTCTATCTCAGACAGACCCAGTAGAGCAAGATGTGATTTGGAACAGCGTGCTGCACATTTAAATAAACTTGATGAGATAGTCATGCACCTAGAAGAGCTTGCAAGTGATGAAACACAGAATTCACTTGGAAATATTTGCTCAGCTCTGCTGGAAGCTGATGGGCAGATATTTGCGGGTGAACACGTACGTGCAATGTTTGGGATAAGGAAAAGAGCCTTGAAAGTTGTCAGCAAAATGTAAAAAAAAAAAACCAAACATAACAAAAACCAGGAAGATGTATCTCTCTTTCTTTAGCTTTCCAGGTAATGGTCTTTGAGGCTGGAGGTAACGTTTGTCTTGCATCAACTACAGCATTTTACCAGTGACCCCATAAGAACTATTACTGCTGAGCTGGCAGAAACAGGAAATATAAATATTTAACGTTTCAAAGGCTCAAGGGAACAAAGAGAGACCTCTGAGGTTCTGCTGCAGGCTGTGATGTTTAAGAGCAGCCACCCAGTGTTGAGGTTTTGTTTGCTGCAATGTGTGCTTTCTATTGCTTCACTCTCAAAGTCCACAGCAACGACAGTAAAAACCATGCAGCTTTAGGTTGCATTTCTTAGACCAGCATGGATGGTGCACCTTAGGAGTACAGTGCAAAGGGGTTTGGGCACTGCCTCTACACGCTTATAGAATTTAATCTTTGTAAATTGTTGTGATGACCTCAGTTCCTACAGCTTTCAGTCCTGAGATGGAACAGCTCAGCGAGTTCCCTGGAACTACAGCAGAGATTGCACAACATGAAACTTCCATAGTACAAAATCTGAACTTACAAGATGGATCTGTTTCCATCCTTTCCATTCCCACTGTGGGTGTGGGGAGCTGAGGTGTCACTGTGTTCCTTTGTTTTCACTTCACTGTCCTTTTGGCCATCAAATCTTTTAGTCTTGCTAGTGCTTTAGTAGAAAGCTGAGAAATGGCACTGAGAAATGCAGCCAGAGTGGCATAGGGTACCATTTCAGGAGGGCGTGTGGGCAATTAGAGAAATTGGAAAAAAGAAAGACTTGTTCTCCTCCATCCCAGCTGCCCCAAGTGGGCAAGGACTGAATAACTTCTGACAACCCATGGACTGTGCACTGGCTGGACCATTGCCTCCTAGTTTCTCCAGGGACAAACAAGATCCAAAGGGAGTCAAAGTTGAGTCTTTGAGTTGGTGTCTATGAACTATGGCTCAGGTCTCAAAGTCTTTGTTAGTTTGAGCAAAATCTGGAAGACTTTTTCCTGTTGCTGTCACCTATAGTCGATACAGCAATTAGGCTTCTGCATAGGTAAGAAACAAGTTAACCACAGAGAAGAACTTTTAGGGAGCCTTTTGATTTTGCCAGTGCCAGGGCTAGGAAAGAAAAAAAAAAAAAAAATTGCAAATAGCCAGCTTATCTTTTATCTAGAGAGACATCATTAACTTTTATCTGCCAGGAAGCAAGCCATGGGGAGTAGTTCCTGAGTGGCTGGGATGGTGTTTGGACTGTTTTCAAGAGTACAGATGGAGCAGTGCTGCACCATTTACATTTTTAATGCAATTGTATATTGCAAATAATCAGAATTTCCGAATGATTGTTCTCCGAGTAGTCTGGGAACAGCTGGGAGTGAAAGTGGTCAGAAAACAGTCATATGAGAGAAGTTATTAAACTCTGATGTTCTCTTTTCTTCAATGGTGCGTAACTGTTTTCAAATGTACGTTAAGTTGGATATATCTCCCTGCCCTAAGGTGCTTAGCATTGCCTGGTGTTGTTGTGAGCAAAGTGCAGGACCTGGCACTTGGTCTTGTTGAAACTTGTACAGTTGGCCTCATCCTAGCAATCCAGCCTATCCAGGTCCTTCTGTAGGGCCTTCCTACCTTCTTGCAGAACAGCAATTCCTCCCAGCTTGGTGTCATCTGCAAACTTACTGAGGGTGCACTCATTCCCATTGTCCAGATTATCCATTGATCTCTACTCTTTGGAGATCTGTCCAGCTTGTTTTCAATGCTGTCTGCCCTGTTGGATAGAACACAACAGACTGTCTTCTTAAGGATCTTGAGTATCTCCAGCTCAGTTTAAATCTTCAGCATTGTGGTGCCTTGTCCTGGCTGTAGGGGGAGGAATATTATTGGCCTTCCCATGGCACAGACAGCAGTTAAGGAGAACTGAAAAAGAGGAAGGGCAGGCTTTGCTACAGATGAGTGTGTCCAAGAGCTTGGAGGGAACGTCTGTAGCTGTAGTGAAGAAGGAGGATGGATGTACAGACGAGGCTCTGATTTCTGATAAAATTTCAGTCATTATTTTGACACGTTCTCAATGCTGAAGTTTAAGTTGGCTGGCAAAAAAAAATAATGTCAACTTCAGTTTGGAAGATGCACTCACATCTCAGCTTGGGTGTGATGGCACATACACATATGATGTGGCACTACCCAGTAATGTGGCTCTGATAAGCTTTCCTTTTTGCACTTTCTGCTTATCCTCCCTCCCCCCAGGCATGGCTTTTTTTTTTCTAGCATGCTCTCTGTTTTCATGTGTGCTTTTAGCAAGTGGCACATGAGCCTTTTCCTTGTTTGTAGCATGACTTTTTTTCTAGGATCTCAGCACAACAACATGGAATGAATGCAGCGACATTCAAGGCTCGCACCTGGGCAGCTGTTTATTATCATGCCTTACAGCTACATGGCCTTTATGGGTCTTTGTCCTAAAGTACTTTCAATATTAGTGCTACCTACCAGAATCCACCCATCTGCCATCCGAACAGATTCCTGCAGTGTGCAGCCTTGCTGTTCTCTGCCATCCTGCAGTCTTGTGAGAAGGAAGGAGCTCCCAGCAACTGTGTGCTTCGTCCAGGAAAGATGAATAAACTGTGGCAACGCTGTGAAATAAAAGCTGGTGTGGGTTTATGAGCACTGTTGAACTGTCACAGCTGTGAACTGCATTTGGCTCATCTGGAAGATATCCCTGGTCAGAGCCAGGGACAGAAGGAACTCTTCTGATGACTTTGCTTGGCTTAGCTTTGCAACATCATTATTTATCACTTTTGGAGTGCAAAGCCCAGACTGAGGAGGAGATGAATTGCTTGTTCTTTCAGCGTTGCTTGGAACATGACTTGCTTTGAATAAAGATGGGAGTAGCTTTCCTTTTTTGACTGCAAGTACTTGGAGGTTTTTCCCAAAAATAAGAATATGTAGCCACCACTATAGCACAAGCTATGAATGTAGCAATGAGGAATGGCAGGGAGGTGTGATATTGGCATTGCAGAGTATTGATAGGATGCTGAAGGCTACCTTAATCCTAATGTTGTACACCCAGAACAAGCAAGTAGACACAGTAGTCTCAAAGGGGCAACCTGTAGTCAAGAAAGTATAAGCAATCAGTCACAAATATGGGGAAAATGGAGCAAAAAAGCAAATAAGGGAGGATGAGGAATGGTCCTATAAGTGATGTTTTGGTTCATCTGCATATTAAAAAACACACTCATCAGTATTGAGATGAGGTTAAAATGAGACAGCAGCAACCTCATCCCAAATGCAGAATCTTTGAGCCCCATAATACACGCATGCAGCAAAGTTGCAATAGAGGAAACGATTAGAAAAGGGAAATAGTTTTGTAAACAGCACTATATAAATAACTGCACTCCTATTAGGGGTTGTGCTTGCTTTGTGAAGGATCGCCAAGGACCTCACTCCACTCAGAATTAACATAGAGGCTCTGCATGGATTCTGAATCTTCTTATTGACTGTGTGCATTGGGCCTGAAGCCCACTAGGAAGAACAATTCTTTGGGGCTCCCAAAGCAGCCCTGTCCAGTCTAGCTCATTGGTGTTGGCAGTGGAGGACAGAATGTCTGGTAGAGCCATTAGTTATGTTGCCTGCACTTGGAAAGTGAGCCTAGCAAGTACTGAATGCCTTGTGTTGGAGTGGGTACAGAGAGCAACTTGCCCAGTTGCAGCTTGGCATCAGTTAGCTAAATGCTAAGGTGTCAGGTCTGCCCTGTCCCTGTGATTCTTTACAAAGCTTTCCATACTGAAGAAACTTTGTAATTTTTCAAAAAAATCCCATTCATTGCTGTGCAGGGAGTGAGTGCTGAGCATTAGGAGGATCTGATAGGGGAAACCAAGTGGTCACAGACGCTTGTTTGGTGAGCTGGGCTCTGGTTTGGCAAAAGATCAATGTGGGACTTCCTCAGGTGTGTGCTAATTAGCAAAGGGCTTAGAAGGCAAATGGGCCTGGGGTGTCCCAGGGGTCTGCTCTTGTGACTGGAGGGTGTGTTCAATGCTTTGTGCTGATGGGTCATGGTGTCAGCCGTGTCCTGGTGCACGGATTCCCATTCTATTCCTAGGAAACTGGGGGGTTCCAGCTGCTAAGTGCTTTCTGTTGTGCCTGGGACACAAAAGTGCTGGTAATGGACTAAGGAAAGCATTGCCTCACCAGCTTTCAGGTTAAAACTCATGGCTAAAAGTTAAAAAAATGCCTAAATTCTGCCACTGCCTTTGGAGCTATCAGGTATCTAGCACTTCTTTTTAATGACAGCGCTAAGGAAAAATACAGCAGTCCATCTCTTATCAGAGAACTGCTGCTAAATGGAGAAAAGCTGACAGCAAATATTTACTCTCAGATCAATTCTGTTTAAAGTGCAATGTTTGTAGCAGAGCTTGAACACAGGAAGGTCAGATATAGTATCAAGGCTGCATGTATATAAAGACAGGGATATGCAGTGGACACTCTTGCTTAAATGGGGAAAACACGAGAGGATTTTGAGAGGCACACTATGAGGAGCTTGATTTTTGTCCTCACTCTGAGCGTTTTCTCATGTTCAGGTAAGCTGTTCAGAATTTTTCAGTCCTTTTTCATATGGCTCAGTTAAGAAAAAGAGTGAACTCTAATGGAACTGTGTGTCTGCCTCAGGGTTTCCAGTGTACGATTATGAACTCCCTGTCACAGAAGAGGCTCTCAATGCTTCTATTGCAAGGATCAATGCTCAGTCTTGGGGGCCAAACCTGTATGGTGTTGTCAGGAGCCACGTTAGACATGTGAGTGCACAGAACAACTGAGATCCTTTACCTTCAATATGCTTTGCTGACTTGGAAAACTCTTTTATTTTGCCTGATCTTGGAAATGCACATTTAGTTGGAGTTCTCTGATGTGTCTTGGAAGAGGGTGGTCTGAGGCATTGTACAAAGCTATGGCTTTAAATATTCTTTGTATGTGCAGTTTTAATTAAAAGCATGTTGGGAGCTCAAACTGACCACCCCTAGAACAGAAGACTTTGATGGATATCCTTAAAGATTTTGCTCAAAAATTAATTCAGAAAAGAGCTGGTATTTTTCAAATACCTCCAGCTGACTGTTTTGCTTTGGGCATAAAATAATCTGGTTTCCATCTGATGGAGGTATTCAGTGCAGCTGAATATTTGCCCTCTGGGCGAGCACTCTGCATAAGGAGCTGACAAATAGTGATCCTACAAGCTGCACCAACTCAGTGTTTTGCAGTTCTGTGATTTGCTTTCCGGGCACTGCTTGATTTGGCCTTTCTCTTACCAGGTTGACACGTGGAACAGCAATGATTATAGACTAGAGCTGCAGCTCAGTATTCGTGAAACCGAATGCACAAAAGCTTCAGGAAGAGACCCGTTTACATGTGGCTTCAAAGTAGGGCCTTTTGTGGTAAGTGCCTCTGGTGTAAATGGGAAACTCCCCTCAGTGCAGGGTGATCTCTGGACAGGTTGAAACATTACTGATTGGTTCTCAGAAGACAAAAAAAAAGCCCAAATACAACCTGCAGAATAGAGTGGGTATTACATGGGAAGGGGCCACGTTGAGAAACTCTTGTTTCTGACCAGTGAGGAATACATGAGATGCTCTGAGCTGAAACAAGAGGATGCTTGCTTTGGAATGGCATGAGGTAAAAGTGTCTGTGTGCTTTGCAAACAAATCCTGGAAGGAAAACATAGCTGCTTTTCCAAGTTAAGAGGATGGTAAAACTGGTACTTGACCTGATTTATTTTCTACCATGCGTGTAGGCAAGAAGTCAGGAAAACAGGAGATGAGAACAGAGTTGGCAGTCTGGATAGGATGGTGTGCAGCATCCTCACAGCTTTGTGCTGCAGCATTTAGTAAGTCTAGTTGATGTGAGGTAGGGATGTTATGCTGTTTGGAAGGTTGCAACAAGGAAGGATTTGGCGACTAACCTTGTTCTTTTACTCTCCTGAATTCTTGTCTCTTTTCTTCTGTGAATGACTGCCAAGTTCATCGATCCTTCCTGGACACAAAGTTTAGAGGAAAGGAAGGATTTGGGGAAGGCACTGAAAAGGTGGATCAAAGGCTTTTCTGGTAGATAATGAGTTGTGCTACCAGCCACTGGAGGCAGTTTATGCCCCCAAGAGAGAGGCAAATGTCTCTTCGGGTATTGCTACTCTTGAGTTGAGTGGCTTGTGTGTGCGTAGAAGGAGCAACACCAAACTGATGAATGTTACTAAGTTTTCTTCCAAATCAGAGGGATTGGTGGCTGTGAAGTTATTACTGCGTCCTAAACGGACACTATCCCATAGGTCCCTCAAATCCCAATCAGAGGGCACCTGATTAGATCTACCTCTTTTAGATTAGATTAGATTTGAGTGAAGGCCTGGAATAGGTTCATCTTGATGTGTATACTGAGCATATTCATAAAGATTGAATGTAAAGAGATGTGACCCCACCTTAGGCACGACAGTTGTGTGATTGAGAGGACATGTCCTGTTTCTCTTCTTGTTGGTGCAGTACAGCATGAAAGAATGTGAGGATGTCACATTTCCAAACCTGGGTGCCAGATTTCCAAATCAGAGAGACAGCTTCTTTAATGGTTGTTCAGCTTCTAGAGGTGGAGCTGCCATCAGCATCGCCCTGGGTAGATTTTCTGTTTGTGATCGGTGATGCTACAGCCATTAAAAGGTTGGGAGAACTTTTTTCCTAACACTAGCAGGTTCAAAGCTTCACGCAGATAATATACAATTATGGATCAATAAATTGTGTGAAGTTATATACTGCTGGAATATATTGACCTGGCTGCAGACTGCTCCCAGAATTTGTTAGGCATGTCGCTTCAATTTTGTCCTCTTGGAATTTGACTAATAACTCCCTGTAAAGATTTCCCACTTAAACTCCCATGAAGTGCTTTGCACTGTAGCTTTGTTCCATCAGATTCATTCTATTTTTATCTGTTACAGCCAACTGCTGTCTGCAAAAGTGTTGTGGAAGTCTCCGGTGAGCAGATTGTGAATGTTATTGTGCGATGCCATCAGAGCACATTCAGCTCTGAATCGATGAGCAGTGAGGAGGTAAGGAAGTGAAAAACTGCTTTTTTGCTACCTGGGAACATAAAAATTCTGCTTATCCTCTTTCAAGGAGAAGTCAGGTATTTAAGTGTCAAGTCAATCTTTGCTTTGACAGTCTGAAGCAGCAATTCAAGGACTTTTACATATCAAATCACTTAGCAGTGTTCCCACGTTGGCAGTGGAAAAAACTGAGGCGTGAGGGGGCATGGAATTTGCCCATAATTCACCACTATGTCCCACCCAAAATAGAGCAGGCACTTAAGTCTTGAGTATTTTGTCTATGTGCTGTCGTGTTGCCAGAGGACACTCCATCCCAATGGTGGCACGTGCCACGGTGTCTTTATTCTGTCCTTACTCAGACGTCTGGTAACCTCCTTGTTCTGTCTTCTGTGCTGTGGAAGCTTCTGATGTCTATTTAGAGGCAACTGGAAGTTTTCAGCATAAAGCTGGTTGTGATTTGAAGTCCAGCTGCCTCCTCTAATGCTTCACGTTCCTTCCTATGAGAGGCTTGACCTTGCTCGATGGATGCCTGAATGGAGTGTGAATCTCTGTGACAGTCTGGCACACCCACCAAATGTGACACTCTTTCTCCATTGAAATATACACCATGCCTGTGCCTGGAAAATAGTGATTGGCACATCTTAGAGACAGAAACAAATTCTGGCTCTGTTATCAAATCCCTCAGCTGAGCATGTAATCATAGTATAGGTGAAGAGAGTTTGCTCCTTTGAGATTTATGATCCACTCATCTTTACTTTTGAGCTCTCAGCCAGTTTCTAAGGTATGATTAAATGCTGACCCAATCAGTAAATCCCTGCTAGCTGCTTTTGGATTGTACCAGTATCCAATTTTTCCTTGAATTTATTCTTGAAATTGTATGCCTGCACTTACAGCATAGGCCTGCAATGAGTACTGTGCTTGAGGGTTATATTCAAGGAGTGAAGCTAGTTTCACAAGCAAGGTGGCACAGGATCTATGGACAGCATTTTTGTTTATGGAAGCTGCACGTGGAGAAGGATTCCATGTCGTGTTCTCCTTATTTGAATTGCCAGCTTTTGTTCAGAATCTCTACTCAGATGGAGACAGTAAATGCACCACAGGAACTCTTGATTTGCAGAGCAGAAAGACAGTGTGTGAAGTACTGAAATATGTACAGCAGTTTTGCATGTTCAGTCTGTCCTCTGTGTTAAGCATAACTCTCATTTAATTGGGCACTAACTATAAACACTTGCTTCTATAAGCAGAGCTCTTCCTGCAAGTCTTCTTTAACTGTCACTTAAAATTCAGTGCTTCTGCCAATATTCCTGCTGGGGGATGTATTTCCTACAAATTTAATAAGGAATAAATGCTAAAGAGAATTATTGCACATGAAAAAGAAAGTCTTTCTGAACAGGGTTGCGCTGCAGCTTTTGCTCTGTGGGTTGTAAACTCAGTGAAAGGGATCTCAGGTTGGCTCGCTGTGAATGATGTTGATGTAGTGCTGGTGATATCTGGGTAGGAGATAAAGATAAAGGAGATGATTGGGGTCGAGGTCATACTACTGTGATAGGAATCTATAAAATAAGAATATGGAGAGCTTTAAAAACAGTAACTTGATGAGTTGAAGAGGTGCCCTGTGTAGCTAGAACAAACTCATTCAGCTCTCTGAGTCCTGTTCTCTTGGCTGTATCTGCACTAAAGCTCAGGTCAAGTCTTAGGTACCAATTTCTTTTTGAACAAACTGCTTTAATTTACAGATGATGCATATGCTGATGACAAGCCCAAGGAAGCGAGGCAGCAGTCGCTCTGAAGGTAAGCCATGCTGGACACTCCTGGCACAGGTTGGTTTGCCATTTGCATTGGCCACGTGGAGGTCATCTGTCTGAGAAAGAGGAAAATACAAAATGCCAGCTGTGTGCTCAGGTCACATCCAGCTTCTGTTACTGTGGAGGGGAGCTTCTCACTGAGAAAATGGTGAAGGCGTGGGGGTGCAAGACAGGGCAGTGCTGAAGCTATAAGCTTGCAGCCGTTTTCAGAATTGATGGATTTGTGTTTTCATAACCTGTACCTGTGTGCAAACTTACGGTTGTCTTGATGTGCAGAATGCTGAAGAAACATGCTTGACAGCATGCAGCACTCATGCGTGTCTCCACGTTCTTTCCATTTTTGTTTCTGAAGCCTTCTCATCAAGGGGAAGAGGCCGCATCAATGGTGACTGGCATAAACCTGATTATACTAGCCCTGGCAAGATCGAATAATGCAATTTAGGTGAGTATCAGAGAATCCTAGAATGGCCTGGGTTGAAAAGGACCACAGTGATCATCTAGTTTCAAACCTGCTGCCATGGGCAGGGTCACCAACCATCAGACCAGGCTGCCCAAAGCCACATCCAGCCTGGCCTTGAATGCCTCCAGGGATGGGGCATCCACAAAACAGCATGCTTGGAGTACAGCTCCAAGTGAGGATTTTATGCATACCAAGTTTGCAGGTTTTGAGGCAGAGTGGGAAAGAGACTGCTCAGCATAAAAGACTTCTTTGGGAACATGCTTCTTGACTGGGAGCATGTTAGAAGCCATTGCAACCTGAGGCTTGCTTATGGGGAAATCAAGGTGTATCACTTGGCAGTGGGACTTTGGACAGGGCATTAACACAGATAGAGATGAGCAAGTCACCTGCCATCTTTATGCCAGTACTATCTTCCCACCCACAGCTTGTTCCCAGCTCTTAAATGTCTTTGTGCTGACACTAACTTAACGGGGCCTTGAGGCTGCATAGTTCAGAAAAAAAGAAGAAAAAAAAAAATTAGTAATAAGGTATCCAAAAGAATGCAGTTTGCCCAGGGCAAGTGTTTGTTGTAGAAAAGCTGTGATGGAGGTGTTTGGAGCTCAGGTAATGGAATGATAGTGAAAGGTACACAAGATTCAGTGGAGCTGGCAAAGCTTAACCTACACAAACCACCTTAGCAGACCCACTTCTGAAGCTCTATGTGGGAGAAACTCTCATTTCTGCTCATGTGTTACCGACCATTTTATGGAGTGAAAAAAGGGGAAGTGTCTTTGAAAGCATTTTAGCAATAGAGAATGAATGTCATGCTCGGGCATGCTAAACTGATTTAAAATAGTTGGAAAAAGGAGAGGAATTATTTGGCACTATGTCTGTGCAATCAGAAGGGTTTCACACATTCACTAGCAGGTGTTTGTCCCTGTAGACTGACTACAGAATGGAATGCTGCATGTGTGGAGCTCAATTCAAGCCCTCTGCCTTTGAAACAACAGTTTTAGATGTTATTTAGCAGCAGTGACTCACCAACAGCATGTTGTTCATAAACATATCCGAGGCAAACCTGTGTGTGCTGAAGGAGACGCGGCCCTACTCTCATAGAAAATAGACATGAAAGGAAAACACAGTCATTTGGTTAAGTCAGATCTTTGTAAAAATGCTTTCCTTAAATCCGTATGCTGCTTTGGTTTAGCCATGAACCTGCAAAGGTGCTGGTTTTATTCCTCTTACGGGGATCACTGACTTTTCTGAATGCTTTTGAACTTCCTCGATGATACGCAGTGGCATTCTTGGCATGCGCTCTGCATCCAACACATACCAAAATTATTTCATGTGTTTGAGGTCAAGGAAACTTGTTCATGACTTTTTTTTTTTTTTCCTGCTGTGTTTTGGTAACTGTGTGATCATGGCAGGCAGCATTGCAAGCCCATCTACGATGATGGTGTTTGCTAGGTCATGGGAAATACTGTGCTGTGCTTTGAGATAGCAGAAGCTCAGCTGGCATATTCTCTCAGATGAGAATATTTTGGAGGAGGCTGGGGAAACAGATTTAATGACCGAAGGCTTTCATCTCTTACTCAATAAACCTGTTGTTGACAGGCAAAGCTAGACGAGTTCAGGTAAGAAATGAAATGTGATTCTATTTTATGCAACAGGGTGGGTAACTGACCCCTGCAAGAATTGCTAAGGCAAGCTGCTGAAAGAACATTTCATGCTGGAGTTATCATTTTCTGAAGTAGATCATCTTTTTGGCTACAGGAATTATTTCAGGAGAACCCTGTGCCAGAGTGTATGCAGGAAGCTAGGCTAAATGGTCTCACAGATGCTTTCTGTCTCTCTGTTTTTATTTATTCGAATGTGCCAAATATTCAAGAGGAAAAAAATCAGTGCAACTGTTATATAAAAGATGTTTTCAGGTCTGCAGTGTTCAGACCTACCAACCTACTGCTGCCAGCCAGGGGTTACCAAATTGCATATGAAAGAACCACACCAATGACTAAAGAGCTTATTTCATTGGCAAGTGCTAATCAGATTTTCTGAATTAATTTCCTAGTGCATCCCTGGAACTGGGGAGGCTGTGAATATTACTTGTTGTGCTGTGGACTGGCCTCTCCAACAAATCATTTGGACACGTGAACAAGTGACAGCAGGAGAGCCAGCTGCTGTGCAAAGCTATCACAGCTTAACAACCTGAGCCTGCAACAAGTGTTAAGGTCGTTGGTTAGATATAGCACATATCTAGCTCTGCCAGCCTTTAGTGCAAGGTGCAGTCCAACCTGTGGCTTATGCCTGTGGTCACCAGCAGTGCTTGGTTTGCTTGGCCAGGAAAATAAAGCATGTCATTGCTTGCATTAGATGTGTAGGTTGTGAGTCGTTAACCACGCAGGGAAGGTGTTTTGTTTGTTTTAACACGCAGTGGGGTTCCTTCTGCACAAAGGGCTGTGATTTCTTCCTGGAGTTTTCTACGTGTTCTTAAAATGATCCTCTGGCTGAGTTCTCATGTGACGTAGCTGGAATGGTGGCAGTTGACTATCAGTCAGTAGACTGTCATCCTTGGCTGTTAGGGCTCTTTCAGTGAAAGAATAACTGGTAATATTGGGCCTCTTCCACTCATACCCAAGAAATCCAGGATCCTGATCTCAGAGTGAACTTTGTTTCTCCTATTTCCAGAAAAGCAGCAGTGCAGCAGCATGCATAGCCCTCCTGGGGCACAGAACTAAAAGCTTTTATCCCCAGTGTTCTTATTACAAAGCCATCAGAGGGAAGGGAAATCCTTGCAGAAGGGGATCTTTTGTGTAGTGCATGAGCTCCATGTCCTGATCAGCCCTGAGAGAGAAAGCGAGGCCCATTTACCTCCTAATGACAGGCAGCCATTGTGTTCCTCTTGCCTTGGAGTCTGTGATTGCAGAGCTCTGGGTGTTACCTGGCATTTATGACAGCATGCTCTCCTACGTTCCGACCCTTTGTCACTACCACATGTGTGAGCATTTGTTTCTGGCACCAATCTCACCCATAGAATTGACTTCCAGAGAATTTTCACATTGCCATGGTTACAAACATGATGGAGATACGGTGCAGGCGCTCACGTGTCCTCTTAGAAAAACGGATCTCAGATCCCTTTGTGCATGTTTAATTCAAATGCGTTTCTCAGAAGACCATACAGCTGCTTATAACCTCAACCACCTCTGCTTTTGAGACTCTCCAGTATGAGTTGGTTTGTATCCACTGTATTGCTTATGCTTTTTCTAACAGCTTGGGTTTATCTCTCTCTTTTTTATTTTTTAAACACTAATTAGCAATTAATGTGACATTTTTGGACACGTGGTTTTTTTTTGTGTGTGTGTATGCAAAACAGATTCCTCACTATATGATTGTGATGATAAATAAGAAGCAATTCAGTGAAGTTGAATACCCTTTTTTCCTGGGCTGTGGATGTTCGGTTAATTCTGCTAAGGAAGCAAATTTTGAGCTACAACTTTTCTCCCCCACCTCTTTTTCTTGGATGAGATCAGAGAATGAGGGATATCAAGATTCAAGGATCATGGAATGAATCATAGAATGGCTTGGGTTGAGAAGGACCAAGATGATCATCTAGTTTCAACCCCCCTGCTAAATGCAACCGCTGCTAGGATGCAACATGTGAAAAGCAAACCTGATGCATTTCCTTCTCTTTTTCAGGAAAAAAGCTATTCTGTGCTGAAGTGAGTCTTTCCTTAAAATCACCTTCTGCTTTACAGCCAACTGGCCATTGGATGAATTCGTCAGGTGCTGAATGGGTGCCCTGCTCAGTCAGTAGTGTTCTGACACATTACATCTCATCAGGAGGACTGTCTCAGACACCTAATGTAACTCTGTATATGTAGTATGTGTTGTACCATCTCATAGCAATGATATTAAAGGATCAAAGGACTGCTGTTGCATCTTTGTGTTCTGCATTGCTCTCCAGGCACAAGTCTTTTCAGTCCTGTCCCTTTCTCTGCACTCAGTGCATGTGTCCCCCTTCTGCAGTCCTTTAGGAAGGGACTGTGCATCTTGGCTTTTTTTTTTGGCTTTTTTTTTTTAAATCTCTGCCATGAAGAATGAAAATCTAGTTTGCTCTCTGGTTATAATTAGGACACATTAGTGGCAGGGATCTGTCCATCACTCATGGGATACACTGCCAGTCCACTGTTATTGCGGTGCATAGGATATTTAGATTATACATACACAGTTATTGTCTGAGCTAAAAAATCCTACGTGTTCAAGAATGAAAAGTGGGGTTGCCTTTGACCTCCAGATGTGACCCTCATGATGAATGAGTAGGAAAGGTCTTCTGATCCTTTAGCATTGATGTTATGGGTGTCATAGAGTCATAAAGCCATGAAGGTTGGAAAAGGATCACCCAATCCAACCACCAGCCCACCCCCCACCATGCCCCCTGACCACATCCTCAGTGCCACATCTCGATGGTTCTTGAACACCTCCAGGGACAGTGACCCCACCATGAGCAAAAACTTCTCTGAAGGCAGGACTTTGTCGTCATGTCTCTTGGTCATGAGGGCAGGATCTGCAGTCAGGCATCATGGTAGCATGTCCAGGGGCTGTAATATTTCTTCTTGACTGATGTATAAACTGCAATGAAAGGCCACCCCTCTCCACTGCACGTGGGTCACCTGTATGCTAATCATCTATGTGCACTTCTCTGCAAAGTTTGCAAAGCAAACACTTTTTTTTTTTCCCCAGAAAAAAATGGATTTCAGGTACTTGAATCTCCTTGCTGTATGTATACAAATACCTTCACACCCAGAAGCTGATGTGACATCTGCTGTGCAAATGTTGCTCTGGGGCTGCAGAGTAATATTTTGTCTGCATTACTCAAGTCTTCTGTGGTCTCAGTGCTGACTCTAGCACTTGTTATTCCAACATACTAACGATAGTTGCTATGGGTGTTCCCTTCCAACTCCCATATCTGCGTGTCTGTTCTGAGAAGCAACATCCATGTCCAAGAGCAAATCTCACTGGGACTGATGCATGAAACCATATCAGGGTCCTGATTCTGTTTGCATTCAGTCATGTCTTCACTCCAGCGAGCTCCAAGTACAGTGAAAGACTCCAAAAAACACCCATGTTGCAAAAAGAGCCAGCCCTTTTTGCACTCCAGCACCAAGAAATATTTTGACATACTGTCAAATTCTCTGTTCTGCATCTGCATGCTCTGCTCTCCATGGCCCCTCTCCACAGCATCTCAGTTCGTCCCCGTGGAAGAAAGAAAACTGTTGACTTCTTATTCTCAACGAAAACCTAATTAAAGCTTCATTCGTGGCAGTTGGTTCTTTTAGGATTGCAGAATGTCAGGGATTGGAAGGGACCTTGAAAGATCATCTAGCCCAGTTCCCCTGCCAGAGCAGGAACAGCTGGATCAGGTCACACAGGAACACATGCATTATCCTATATAATAATAGGCTTAGAGCATGTTACCCTCAAAACCATGTTTATAAGCAAAGAGAAAATATATATAAAGACGAGAAATTGTTAGTATTATTGAAATCTTATCAGTTTTAAGAATTTATTCTCATCCAATTATTATAGAAAGGGAAATATATACATACATACATACATATATAATGTTTCAGTGAAACAGTTAACATATTATAGTCACCCTTCCTAGCATCTTCCCCTTTTTTGGTTCTATGCTCACTCTTCCACTGATTCTCTGGGCCATTAGGTTGGTGGCTTCAGCCTGGTAACAGGCATGCTTAGGCCATTTGCCAGCATCTGGGGGCATTCACTAGGATGACTGTTGGCTGCTGCTGCTTTACCCCACTGTGATTCATCTGGGTCTTTACATGTTTTTTGCTTTTACAAGCCAGGTATTCTGTGTATGATGTACTCTACACATGTTACTTGGGGGGGAGGGGGGGAAGGGGTCTCAATGCCCTTCCTGCCCTTCCATCAACATGTGGGGAAACGTGATGTAGTGGGCATGGTGGTAATGTGTTGATGGTTGGACTAGTTGATCTTAGTGGTGTTTTCCCACCTTAATGATGCTGTGGTTCTATGAGATACGTGGGGATTTGTGCTCCAGGGCACAGCAGCATTTCATTTCCTGGATCTTCTCTTTGCCATCATGTGCTGGAATTACTGGCAATTGTGAGGTGTTTGGTGCTGCATGAAAATAGTCTAGAAATGTTCTCAAAGGCAACAGCTTGCTTCTCTTGAGCGACAGCTGGGGGAAATAAGCCCATACTCAGAAGAAGCTTATTTCTCATCGTGAAGGAATGTGAAGATTTCCTGGCATACACCTTACTGTCAGCAGCTTAATCTCAGGTGAGTGACAAACTAGGTTGACCTTTGGACGATCTCTCTGAAATGAAGGATAGGCCTTCATAGCTAAGCCTATTTCCTAATTTGGGGCAGTGAGATGTCGGGACTCAAGCATTTTTCAGCCTCGACTCTACCACAGAATGTGCAGTTCTCAATACATTTACAAGTGCAAATTCAGCACAGAGGCTCGGGAATACATAAGGAAACACAGCTGTGCTGAGGATGGAGTGCATCCCTTGCAGCAGCCAGTTGGTAGATGATGCTGAGCTGCTGTTTGTGAGCCCAGCTCTCTGCTTCTGCATCCCACTGGTGGCAATGCCCACTAGGTGTCAGGATTGAACAAATGCAAGGCTGATGCAGTGGAGAAAGGGTCTGAGTTTTCAAATTCTTCTGATTCTTAACGTTTTTTTAAAAATTCCTGACTTCTACCCCGCTGTGCCATAAAGTAAATAAAGGGAAGAAGAACCTGTTTGTTTGAAGGCTGGTGAGAACAGGGGAAGAGAAAGGAGAGAGAAAGGAGAAAGCAAAAGAGTCTCAGCCTGCCCAGAGTACTTGCATTATGTGAGCTTATATTCTGCTCCAGGCACAAAGTTAATTTTCCTTTTTAATGCTGAAGTCAGTAGACTCTTCTCTTTCCTCCATGACAAACTGCTGCTTTTTGATGAAATGGTCATTTGTCACGTTATCCATCCGTGAGTTGCCTTGAACTATAGGCTGTAAGATGCCTTTGGTGAGAGGAGGATGCTGGTTGTGGAAAGGGCTTCACTGTAGGGCTGCAATTTCTAGAGGTTCAGGTTTGATAGAGGGCTGTGGGACCTGGAGATTTTCTGTGCCATTTGATGGAGGTTTCTGCAGCTGGTTCTACTGGATTCATGGGTCAGGGACATGCCTCTTCACAGCCTTCAAGTGCTGCTTGTTCTTCAGACTTTGATGCTGAAACCAGATTCAGCTGCATGTACCCACCTTGACCACCAACATGTGGTTCTAGGGATTCATCTAGATAGATGTCAGAATATGTCAGGGGGAGGTGAAACTGGAACCAACAGGGAGAAAGTTGGAAGCTGAGATGTTCTGTTGGCTTCCAGAGCCTGGAGAGGTTCATGGCATTAGCTAGCTGTGAGATCTGGGGCTGAAGCAAAAGACCACCTGGAAAACTGAGTTTGGCAGGATCCCAGGGACCACAGACAGTGATTAATGACAATTTTGAAAGGATCTTATGTGTTTTCTTGAGGCTGAATCTTTTTGTAGGCAGTTGGGTAGGTGCTGCTGCTGGCTGAGCCTCCAGATCTGGGATAAATAATGAAGAAACAGCCTCCAAAAGTGAAGGCTATTAATTTCAATGGGGAAAAAAAAAATAATAAAACAAAAAAACAGAAACCAGCCTGTAATCTCAGTAAAAATAGGTACTGAGCAAAGGTGGTTAGAAATATTAATCCTGGAAATTAAAGCAGCCAGCCTTGTGTCCACACTGACCATATTGACTGAAATGATATAGGAAGTACACTTGGCATATAGCAATATCATGAAGTTTTACCAGTGTTGTTTTTGCAGAGAAAATTTTGGATGCATCAGGAAAACAGAAGCCTGGTCTAGAGTTCCCAAAAGCCTCCTGACAGGCCTTTGT